TGGAACTGGAGAACATCATTCTGAGTGAGGTTAGCCAGGCTCAGAAAACCAAAAATTGTATGTTCTCCCTCATATGTGGACTTTAGATCTAGGGCAAACGCAGCAATGGGGTTGGACTTGGATCACATGACAAGGGGAGAGCACATACGGGAGATATAGGAATAGGTAGAAAACCCATAACATGAAAGCGTTTGATGTCCCCACTCCAGAGGAACTAATACAGAAACCTTAAAGCAACAGAGATCAACACAGAAGGGGATCAGGAACCAGTGTAAAGATCAGTTAGAGATGAATCAACCTGGGTTGTAACACATTTGTACATGGAAGCAATGCTAGGAGTCTCTCTGCATAGCTGTCCTTAACTCAACTAGCAAAAACACTATGTCTTTCTTATTAATGCTTATTTCTACTCTTCAATGGAACTGGAGAAAAGCACAAAACAGGTTCTGCCTGGAAGAGGGGATAGAGGGTAGGGGCAGGGGCTGGGGGGAGAAATGACCCAAGCAGTGTACACACATGTGAATAAATGAATAATAAAAAAAAAGAATAGCAATTCCCAAAATGCTCTGGAGTCATCGGGAGGCCTTCGCACACACTAAAAAAGAAATGAAGCTTGAAATAGAGGAGACTACACATGAATAAAAACAAAAATAATTAAAACCTGAAGTGTGTACATAAATAATTGATTTTACTTTGTGTAACTCTTGAGCTTGTATTATTTCTGCTTTTTTTTTTAGATATCAGAATTTCCCCACAAATGTCAAAATTACTATTAGTTTTATAGAAAGTAGTTTATGGAGCCAAGTATGGTGATTCACAACTGTAAACCCAGCTACTTGAGAGGTAGAGAAGGATCATGGTTCAAAACCAGCCTGGGAGGAAAAGGTTAGTAAGACCAAATCTCAAGGAACAAACTGGGTGTGTGGTGCACATCTCTTAATACTAGCTACACGGGAGGCAGAGGTAGGAGGATCTCTACCCAAGGCCAATACTGGGTAAAAGCTGGAGACCTTATCTGAAAAACAACTGAAGAAAAATGGACTGATTGTGTGACTCAAATGGTAGAGTACTTGCCTAGTAAGAGCAAGGCCCTGAGTTCAAGCCCCAGTGCTGCCCAAAACAGAAAGAAGTTTATGCTTTAGTTGCATACCATCACCAAAATCATTTATTGAGCATAAGACATAAGTCTTGTTGTCTAAGACACTTTAAACTAACAGTTTCTGTAAAAACATAAATTTGTGTTTATATAGAAAAAACAATTTGGCATGAATTCATCTTTTTGATTACAAGTAATATATTCCTTAAGCAAATCATTGAGTTTGTGGGCTCATCATTTCCTCAAACTACTCAGATAGTGAAGAATCCAGTAGCCTGTGCTCTGGTGTGAACACATGCAGGTGGCTCTTGACCTCTCCTCTGAAGGTAGCCACTTTCCTCTTCTTTCTTAGGTTGTACAAATTAAAACACAAGCCAGTACTAGTCACTCTTCTCTCTTTGCCTATAGTATTTTTTCTTTCCCATTCCCCACATATTCCTTCCTTTTTTTCCCCTTCTTTTACTTACAATAATTCAAAGGCAAGAAGATCTTGCTTCCTGACTTGGGTAGAGCAGAATATTGTGCTCATTCAAGCCATCAGCCATTCCCTTTTCCTCCCTGAATGCTTCCTTTGTTTCATTAATATCAAGGGAGCCTACTGCTTTCCTAAATGATGTCTTCTTCATAAATAAAATTAAAGAATTGCTTTTTAAAAAGTCCTTCCAAAGTCCTAATTTATAGTGTGTTCTGCCCCACCTACTTTTTATCCATTCTCATTTTTGTATTTCAAGCAATCAGTGCATATTTTGAAGAATATATTTTGCCCTAAAGTAACTATTGAGCTCTACCAATTAACCACATAAGAGTTGTTTTATCTTTAATGCTTGATATTTTAGTACCTCAGCACACATTTTTCTTTTCTTTTTTGTTTTTGGCGGCACTGAAGTTTGAACTCAGGACCTCAACCTTGCTAGGCAGGCGCTCTTGCCCCTTGAGTCACTCTGCCAGCTCACATTTTTCTTGAGTTTGTCAAAAAACAATGTTTAAGAGGTTGGAGGTGTAACTTAGTAGTACAGCTCTTGCTTAACATGCACAAGGTCCTGGCTTCAGTCAGAAGGAAAGGGAGAGAAGGAGGAAGGGAGAGAGGGAGGGAGGGACAGAGGTAGTTAATACACATGTATGAAAATAGAACAATGAAACCTGTTGAAATTGTTTTAAAAAGTGGGGAGAATGATGGAAGGTGTGAATCTAACCGATGATGTACATTGTAAGCGTATGTAAAAGTATCACAGTGAAACCCCCCTATACAACTAATATATGCTAATAAAAATGTTTTAGGAAGAAAGAAATAAAAGGAGGGGGAGGGAGGGAGGGAAAGGGTGGGAAAAAGGAAGAGAAAAGTTGGACAAAAATGTTTGTTTCTTTTAAAAAAATATTTTCAAAAGTAACATCTTTGAACTATTAATTCTTACAGTTATACCTGCCAACCTTTTTGCTTTTGATTTCCTCCTCTCAAATGTTGTTGACCTATCTGCTCCAGTATAGCTAAAGCACAATAATCAAATGGGAAAATAGTGGAAGTCAGGCTAGTGAAGTCCAGGCTGCCATATATGGAGTGCAGGTTGTACCAGGGGGTAAAAGGGAGCTGGAGTCCAGCCTGTGCTCTGCTTCCGAAGTCCTGAACCTGGCATGAGATTGTTTTCATCTAAGGAAAGGGGTGCTTTGTTAGTTCACAGAAAGGTGTCGTATGGGCTGGCAGTGGCCCACTTAAACAGTAATATAAAGAGTTTTGACTTTTTGCAAAGTATTGAGAATCACTGAGTAAATAAAAAGTCTTTTTAATAGTTTGTCAACACTGCTATGTGTAGCATAAATTGAAGGAAAACCAGAGTGAAAGTAAGGCTGGTCAGGAATTGATGGTAGACAGAAGTAGGGTGGTGGAAGGAAAGATGTGGGAAAATGGATGGATTCAGGGCATCATTTGTTAGATGGGGGAGGGTAGGAGAAAGAGAGGTATGAAAGATGATGCTCTAGTCACTACATTAACTGGATAGATGATGGTGCTTTGTCCGAACCTGGGAGTGCTGGGGGAGAAACCGATTTTGGAAGAGGTTGTTGTAGCAGGACTTCTACATTGTGCAGTTTACTGGAGACACCTGTGAGTTGTCTAAATGGCTACCCGGATGCAAATTAATATAAATTACCTGATATTCAGAAAAGTATCTGTTCTTTTCCTGAGTGCCCCTGAGGCTTTCCTTGTCTCTAACAGTCTGAGAGAGCAACCCATCTGAACAATTCTGTTAATACTCCCTTTAACCCAAATAATCCAGAAATTTATTTTGAGAGAGAGGCAGAATAGCTCCTTGAGTAAGTATAATTACTTTGCCTTGGGGCAGATGCTCAGTTCTATCCCCAGTGCAGTAAAACCAACTGACCTCACACTGGGGCTTGTCTTCTAGCTCATTTTATTTAATGTAAGGGCTTCCTGTAAACTTTCTTAGCAAAGTTTCTGGTTCCCTGATTTGGGCGCTTCCTTATTCAGGTTGATCTCTTCTTTTAATGGCCAAAATCACACAATTACAGCCAGTCAGCTTTGACAGTTTTCCTTTCAATTTACCTGGCATTTACCCTACCCCACTAGAGTTTATAATCTTGGCATGGCACAAGATTATCTAATCTCAATAGATGAACATATTGCTTCTCTCTCTCTCTCTCTCTCTCTCTCTCTCTCTCTCTCTCTCTCTCACACACACACACACACACACACACACACACACACACACACACACACACAGGGTCTTGTTATGTAGCTCAGGCTTGGTTTGAATTTGTGATCCTCATGCCCGTACATCTTGAGTGCTAGAATTACAGGTGTGCATCACCAAGCCCAGCTCACCAATTTATTCTCTCTTGTGCTCTAATAGGCAGAGCCAAAATCAATGGTTAAAAACCACATGGAAGAAGATGTTGGCTCAACTAAAGGAAAAACTGCCCAATGCTTAGTGTTGTCTGAAATGGAGACACCTGCTGGGGAAGGAGTGAGTTATGGTTTCTGAAGGTGCGAGGCACACAGCAGACAGTCATTTGGTGTGTATTTCATAACAGAAACTGAAGGACTTTTGTGTTCTGACTACAGAAGTCGCGTTCATGCTAGAGCTTTATACAGATGCTTTGCCTCAGCTAGTTATGATCTCACCAGGGAGATCTCACCAGGAGGGTTTATGGTCACAAACTTAAGATCACACAGCTAGCAAATAGCAGAGCCAGGATTTAAACTCAATTCCATCTCAAACCTAAACCTTGCTACAACTCACAGAAATGCGAGGGACTGAACAAGGGAATTACTAAAGTCCCTTCCAAGCACTGTGACTCTGAGTCAAAATGTGGATACAGGTATCATTGTCTGTGTTATTCTTTAATCATCTTTCCAGCTTCAATCACATTAAAGAGACAATCTGTGACTTCAAAACTTTCTATGACTTCCATGAACAGAAGGCCATTTGAAAAAAATCAACATTTGTATTTTGTATCTTCTCCAAATTTTCAGCTAACCTTAGTCTGAAGACCTCAAAATATGTGTGTGTATGTGTCTTATGAATTGAATTGCTGGTGAGGAGTGAGTTTAAAGTATAAATGACTAAACTTTCAGTCATTTAAGTGTAAATGACTCAGTTTTTATTATTTCTGAAAACTATCACAATATTGTCCTAAATTCTCTGCTATTTTTTTCAGATTTTTCGGTCTTAGGTCTTGGAATATTTGGCCCAAGGTCAATTTTTTTTACCTAAGTTCTATGTTAGAATATTTTCAGTACTGGAAATTTAAAAATAGCTTAATTAAAATCTTAAAGTTCCTTTTAAAAAACAGAGTCTAAAAATAAGCTTAACGAGAGTCTAAAACAAGCTTAATGTGCTTGTTTTAAGGTAAAAATGATTTTATATGTGTATTAAATGCTACTTTCTAGATTGAAGCTGAACTAGCCAAGGAAAGAAACCGACATTTAGTTGAATTCCAGGAGCAAGCTCTTCTCTTTAAGGAAGAAGCAAAACTGGAACTTGATATCGAAAAAGAAAAGCACCAGGAAATAATTCAAAAGTATAAGAAGGAACAAGAAGAACTTCAAATGAAGGTCTGTAGTTACTATGTTCCTCACTATTTATGTTGGTATTTCCTCCTACAAACACTGCAGTATCTATCAATCCAGCAGCTTTCTTCGATGGACCTTGGTTTTAGCCACACAGGTAAAATGGTTTAGCTGTTCTTCAGAATGGATAACAGAGATAAATTACATACCCATTTAATCCAGCTATGTATGAGGATTTTTCCCAAAATAAACTTAGTTTTAAAACAGCATAAATTGTTACTAATAAGTAGCATGACATTCTAACACCTCAAATATCCAACATCAAAAGAAAATAAGTTATTTCACACAATTAAAAATTCCCAGCTGAAGTGCTCCACCACTTGAGTCATAACCCCATCCCTTTTAGCTTTAATTTGTTTTTCAGAAAGGTCTCTTGCTTTTGTCTGAGGTCAGGCCTCAGAGTAGGACCCTCCCAATTTGGGATTAATGGTATGGGATACCTAGCCCAAGAAGATCCTTTTCAAGGGCTTTGCTCATACTACACATGCTTTACCACTGAGCTACATCCTCAGGCCATCACAGATATCTTCAGTTATAAACACTTTTGAATGAGGACAGATATTCTTCAAATGTAATCACATCTCCCTAATTTCTTAAACAGTGTATCCTAAAAGTAACTTGAGGTTTTGTTAAGGTTTCCAATTTTGGGGTTTTTTTTTTTGGGGGGGGCGGGGTTGGTTGGGTGGCCTCAAACTCACAATCCTTCTGTGTCAACGTTCTGAATGCTAGGATTACAGGAGTGTACTACCATGCCCAGCAGAGTTTCCTGTTTTTATAGGACTTAAGTGTAGGGTCATATGTATTAACCAAGAGCCAATGGGGAAATCATATTTTGAATAAGCTCATTAAGAGTCCATGATAATTAAGCATCAGAGGGAGTCTAACAACCCTCCATGTTTGTGTAAAGGAGATATGGTACATCCATTTCAATAGTTACTGTGAACAGTAAGTAGGACCAGCTATATGAGTATATGACCAATATAATATAACAGGTCTTCACACTCAGAAAGGGCTCATGCTTTGAACTCACACTCTGCAGACACTACCTTGAAATTCTTGATAATTTTATCTTTGAATTTATGATTATTCAAGTGAAGTTCTATTGAGATCCAGCTCAGCTGAAGTTCTGGCCTCCCCTAGATAGGTCCTGACCTCTTACCACCTGATCCCTGGTACCAGAGGCTCCACTGAGTGTCCCCTTTCCTCCCTGCCACCCATCACCTTGTGACTAATCCTGAGAATCTCAGGATCCCATGGGCAGGGGAATGTAGACAAGATGGTACAGTTTCTCAAGAGAAGTCATAATTCCAAATTTTATAAGTGAAATCTCCTAATTTTTAAATGTTGAATCCCTTTAAAAAATCAAAACATATGTGTGGGCTATGTGAACCTTCTATCCCATGGATAACTTGCTCTATTTCAGTGTCAGCTCTCCTCTGGGTGATGAAAACCACTGTTCAGACCTAACAGTGACCATCTTTCCTTCTGAATTAGTTGAAAATAATACAATATTAATCCATAAAATGACTAATCACGGTGCATAGATTTCTCCCAAAAGTTATTCCTTATGCAAATTTAACATTTGAAACAAATTTTGGATACATAACTCTTTTTAAGCATTCTTGGAACTTTGGTCTATGAATGTTTTCCAGATTCTGTGTGGGCTAGTTTCTTATTGTACTAATGTTTATAAAGTGACAATATCTGTAATAAAATAATAAGGATGTTTCATTAGAAGTAGCTCTTCTCTTCCTTGTTTTCCTGTTTTTTTTTTTGTTTTTTAAAGAGAAAGAAAAGTCTTTTCCCTTCTAAACATTTCATGCTAGAAGGAAAAGCTTCTCCAAGCTACTCTCTAATTTATTTAGTTATTTAGAGGTACAATCTAGAGAAGCAGCATGTTTTCTCAATATTCAGGTATTCTCTAGCACTGCACTGTCCATTGTGGTAGCCACATGTGGCTACTTATATTTCAACTAAATTCATTAAAATTTAACAAGATTTAATATTCAGTTCCTCAGACATGTTTATCACATTTCAAATGCTTGGGAGCCAGTACTAGCTTTCAAGAGCCTGTCATGTCCATTTCTTCCAACTCAGTGATCAGTGGTATCACATTGGTAGCCATGGCAAGAGTATTTGCACCATGGTAATTAGATGCAAATTTGACCTTTTTTTTTCTTGAGAGAGAGAGAGACAATTATGAGACATTTCCAAGCACTCCATTGTCAGTAGCCATATGTAGCTAGTACAGAATTTTTCTATCATTACAAGAAGTTCTGTAAGATGTAGTGCCTGAGGTACTTCCAGTCATGATATACAAGAAAGATTATGTCAAAGGAAATCCTACTGGTAGGATGTGAGTAGATTATACCTGTGGTGTTCTCCTTCCTGTGTAGCCAAACATCTGGCATTTTGAGGTTCCAAAGCCAGCCTAGGTAGGTCCAGCCAGGCCTCTGATCTAATTGTCAAGACTCAACCTGTCCACAGATACTCAATACAGTCACATTTATATAATTCCAAAGGTGCTCAAGTGATCAGTGTAATACCATTTTAGGTGGAAAAATAAAAGTCCATGTTAACTTTAAAAAAAAAAAAACTTAAAGCCCCACATGTCATAGGATTTGTTTTCATCTGGTTATAAAAGCACACTGATTTATTAAAAATAAACCTCTTAAAAACCTTAAGTACTCTGTGATTACCTAGAAACTGTTACCTACAAACTAATAAGAGATTTATCTTACAGATATCTGACTTAATCGCAGGAGCTACAAGAGACCTCAAGCTAGAAGTGACCACTCTTGAAAAAAAGCTCCATGAATCCCATAAGCGATATGCTGAAGAATCTGAGTCAAAGAAAAAGGAAATTGAAACCCTTAAAAATTTGGTTGCAGAATTTCAATCTCCCTTAAAGAAGGAAATTAGCAGTAATGATTCAGTTTCAGAAGACTTGAAGAAGGAAATGAAACAGAAGTCAGATGAACTCGAAAGAATGATACTGGCACAAACACAACTGATCCAGCAATTTAACCAGTCCCAGGAAGAGGTAGGAAGCAGATAATTGTCCTTTTTCGATTAGCATAAGATCACATATTCTCTGAAAAAACAAACAAATCTGAAAGACAGCCTGGTGTCATGGAAAGAATCCTGGACTGTTAGTCAGCAACCTAAAACCACATCCTAGTTCTATGCTTAACTGGGAAGTCACTTAAGCTCTGTGGATCTGGCTTCCTTTCAAGTGAGATGAAGATGTTGAATTACACAACCTCAAAACCTGTCTCCTCACAGTTCCTGGGCCTATGTTATAAACTTAAGACCTCTGAGACTAGGAGTCTTTATATATGTATGTCTTATTTGTTTTAGCATTGAACCTTTGCCAATGAAATCTCTACAGCACATGTTGCTGCAGTTAAAAAACATGAATGATAATAAGGATAATTTTACTTTGATGTTTTGTATTTCTTCCAACCTGAACTTACAAGATAACTTATATGCTTTAGTCTTCCTCCTTATATATCAGAATTATTTCAGCAATGTTTTTGGTTTGACTGAAGTAGGCTTATTTTTATTTGAAAACTTATTTTTCTAACAAATTTTATTTCTAAACTGTTAGGCAGTTTAGAAATGGTAGAATAATCAATTTGTTCTTGAATCACCAACATTACATTGGATCCCATTTATGACAGTGTAGCAAGCAAAAGCAAATGGAAGATTCTGAATGTTAGTAAGAAAAAACATTTTCATTGGTTTTATTGGCATTTTAATAAAGTGCTTAATAAATGGAAAGTGCTATCAGTAAATCAATTATTAACAATAAATACACTGTGTTATTGCTAAACTTAGATTACCAACAAAAATAGAAAATTTATGTCATTTAAATATGAAGTGAACTTATTACAAGAAGTTACAAATAAATATAAGATAAAATAGGGAATGGATAAAAATCCTAGATTAAGAATAATGCCTAACACAAATAGAAATTATTTACATGTTACAGATGAGGAACTGATGGAAAAGAGTTGAATAATTTCCATAGTCACCCAGTTTGGTAGAGCCAAAATTCAAATTTGAATTTCTGTGGGATTCAGGAAACCTAAGTTCTAATGATTCTGCTTCAAAATTTCAAAGTGACCTCAGGTTTATCCCAACAGTTATTTCCTTACTTTTTTTACTTTCAAATAAACAACAAAACACACACCTTACACCTTCAGATGGTTGAGGGAGTCCTGCGATTGAGTATCTCAGGTAGAAGCACAGCAACACAGCCCTTCTAGCAAAGGGCACTGCTTCCTACTCCCAGCAGGAGTGAGCTCCACTCCACCGGAGAAAGCAAGGAGGAGAGAGGCAATGCTGACTTGTCTCAAATGGGACAGCAGTGTTGAATTCTAGAAGAGAGATGGCAGGTTAAACATAAGAAAGGTCAAGGTAACTAGACTACAGGTCTGAATCCTAAAAGAAATGGCAATGTAGAAAATGAGGAATAACTTAATCAGGACAAATAGAAAAAAACAGAAGAGTCAAATTCAGAAAATATAAATTATCATCTATTTATCTAGGTGCCAGGCATGTGCAAGGTAGGCACTGGTGATGTAACTATGAGCAAACTGGTAACTACCATCTCCTGCCTTCAAAGAGAAATTTAAAGTAAACCTTGCATGAGTGATTGAATTAACCTTCAGAGGAAAAAATGACTTAAACAGAAATTTATCTCCTTAAGAGTCTGTGTTTGTTATTTATTGCTATGTAACAAATTATCACCAAATTCAGAGACTCCAAACAATGACCATTTATTATCTTATCATTTCTGTAGGGCAGGAATCTGATGTGATCTGGCTGGGTACCTTTGGTTCAAGGTCTCTCATGAGCTTTGGTGTCAAGGTATCCACAGGGCTGCAGTCTTATGTAGAGTCTCAGGTGGGAGAGGCTTAATTGTCTTGCTCACTTCTGTGGGTGGTTGTTAGCAGGATTAGTTTTCTCACAGTCTGTTAACCGGAAAGCTTCTGGCTGTTGACCAGAGGCCTACCTTAATTCACTCACCATGGCCTCTCCATAGAAGAGCTCTCACTGCGTTAGCTGACTTCCCTCATGGCAAGTGAGAGACTGAGAAGCTTTTCGTAATCCAGTCTCAGAAGTGACATCCCACTGTTTCCTCTGTATGTATTAAAAATGAGTCAATAAGTTCAACCCACATATAAGGTAAATAAGCATACAAGGTGTGAATATCAGAACAGCAGGTATCACTAGGGCTATTTTAAAGACTTCCAGTCACAGGGCCTCTAGAAGTGATTTTAGCAAGAGAAACCAGGTTAATCATGAAGAGTAGATTTCTTTACCTAGAGTAGCTCCGTCTTGCTCATTAAGTTGTGAAAGAAAGCCACTCACTTAGAAATGAGGCTTCATTTTTAAAAAATAAATAAAGACTTTTGAAAGATACAAGATATAAATGATCGTGGATTATTACTAGAGAGGAGAAAAGGATTATCCCCAAAATAAAGAAAAGCTAATTAAGGATGTGCTTGTGGGCCAGTTTCCTTTTATGGGATGGGAAGGTAGTCTAGGTTTTCCATCAGAAGTTACCAAAATACCACCTCAAAGTGAGAATTGCAGTGTAAGTAACAAGGCTGTTTGTCTGACCAAGCATGCAAAAGTCCAGTCCAAAATATGCTTTTAAAAATAGGAAAGGAGCCAATGAACGTGATAGGATTTATAAACCAGAAAGAATAAAGGCCATAGATAGAGATTTTTTTTTTTTTGGATCATGCATTACAAACACTTGAAGTTTCCCAAATTCTGGAGAAATAAAGCTGCAATGAAGTGGAAAACAAATTCCCATTAGAATGAAGATAAACTAGTAAGGAGGCTATTTAAGAGGAGGAGAGTCCTGTTCTCTCTCAAGAGGCCAAAGAGTGGACGAACTTTGTTTTTAACTGTATGAAGAAAGTTCTCAAGGGTAGGAGGAAAGTTATAGCCTCTAAAAAGTAAAACAGTCCTTCCTTACGAGAGCAGGGATTGTTGGAGCAACAACGGTAGCATAGGGTGAAGCAGCAAAAGAACAATTCACTAAAAAGAGAGAGGGTAGAAAATACAATGGTATTAGAAGTGTCAGTGTGAGCAAGAAGCCCCTAAAAGGCACACACATTAAAAAAGTGGAACACCAAAAACAGGGAAGGAGGGCTGGGGTGGGGATAGCTCTAGTGGTAGAACGGTACCTAGAAAGCACAAGACCCTGAGTTCAAACCCCAGTAGCAAAAAGAAAGGAAGATAGGGAGGAAGGGAGGGAGGGAGGGAGGGAAAAAAGGAGAAATGCAAGTGAGAATATGTTAGAGAATAGCATATTATCATTAAAGCCAAATTAAAGTGGATCACTTTAATTTGGTACCAGTGTTCCCTTATACAAGTTCAATGTGAATCCTATCAGTGTGACTCTGCTGTCTGGGACCTCCTTATGATCAAAGGAAGAATATGAGTAAATTAAAGACCAAACGAAAAGCAAAGAACAGTTCCAAAAGAAAACTAGTGCAGAGTTTAGCATTTTTGTTGATTTAAGACTGTAGAATAGGGTATGGTGAACTGCCTATAATCCCAACACGCAGGAGGCTGAGGTAGGAGGATCAAGTTCAAGGTTACCCTGAGAAACATGGTGAGTCTCTGTCTTAGAAAAACACTAACAGAAACAAACAAAATAATCATAGATAAGGGAAGGCATAGGAGTTTTAAATTCTACAGTTCCTATAGCCTATCTAAGAGAAAAATGAAAGATGTTCAAAAATAGAAAATAACGCTCTTAGCTAAATGTGGAGAATGGAACAGATATGTTTATCTCTACTTAATTTCTTTGTCACAAAAATGACAATAAATTAATAAAAAATAAAGAAATCCATGAGGACAAAGAGAACAAGGAAGAAGTTGACACCTGGTGAAAAGATGTTAACAGAATTTTGGAAAATGGAAAGCAAATAGCTGAGAGGTAACTAACTTGGAGGACTATAGAATATTGAAACCTAATGCCCATGAGGGTGAGGGTGAGAGGATCCAAAAGGAGCAAACCTAATCACATGACACTACACGGGGAGGAACTGGAGACACCAGATGGCTTTGACAGATGGACAGGAGAGTGGAAGTAAAAATAGGACTGTTTGAAAGATTGTGAAAGGAGTGAGGACAGATCCTCAGGTGCCTTCCCCACTCCCAAAGCAGCCTCTACCCACCCTTCTGCTGGTACTGGAACTTCACTCTCTAACAGGATTGAATGGGACTGAACTTGAGAAGAGAAGATAGCAGAGTGTACAATAGAACAGAGCTAGGCTGAAAGTCTGTATATTAAATAGAAGACCTCCCAGTCCCCATCCCACACTCCCCAGAATGCTGGCCAACCAGGCTAATTAATAATCAATAGCCAAACTGAAAGAACCCTCTCTGGGGAAATGAGCTGCCTTAAAAGAAAAGTCCTGTGTATACCGACCAGTGAACTGTTCTAGGAAATGGCTGTACCATGCACAGTCTACCTGTTCATAAGTATAGCAGCCAGTAAACCTTATCCAGGCACACTGAGCTTCCAGTCACATTCCAAGGCCTCAATTTTAAAAGTGAATAGCCAAGGATCACCAAATATTTAAGGAGCATCTCCAACATGAAGGGCAGAAACCAGAAATAAATAAGGAAAAAATAAACTTAGAAAAAAACATACAAAACAACACAGGAATCAAAAGGGTACTTCAGGAAAAAAGTATAATACCATATTAGTCCAATTTATTTTGCCAAAAACATGATACCACAATACCACAGACTGAGTGAGTTATAAAGAAAAGAGGTTTATTTTGGCTCCCAGTTTTGAATGCTCAAGGTCAAGGGGCCACATCCCTTGGTGGCTTTCTTGCTAGCAGAGTGCTGAAGTGTGCAGGGAGTCACATGCCAAGACAGGGAGCAGGTATGTGTGTCTCTTCTGCTCTGTCTTCATCTTCTTATAAAGCCACCAGGATTCAATCATAGGCACTCCACCCTTAACATCCTTATCTGATCCTAGTCACCTCCCAAAAGCTCTATTTC